ATTGGCATCCCATCGTGTGGGGGGATGTGCAATCAGCACAATCTAGGCTGCTGGTCTCTCATCCTGCAGCGTCTCCTGCAGCCCGCATTTGGCTGGCTGTGTCTTCATGATGGCCTGTCCCCACTCCTCCATCCCCTGTGTCTCCATAAACTGGGAGTTGGCTCTAGAGGCCTGATGCAGTTTGGGCTCCCTTTTCACCCAACTTCTGATGGAACTGCTTCCAGACTCTGTGCCTCACTCTAACCCCCTGCTTGGCCGGTAACAGGACGATAGACTGGGCGGTTTAAACAACAGACGTGTATTTTCTCACAATTCTGGAGGCTAGGAGTCCGAGATCAAGGTGTTGGCAAGGTTGATTTCTTCTGAGCCCCGTCATCTTGGCTGCCAGTGGCTATCTTCTCTGTCCTCACGTGGTCATCCCTCTGTGTGTGTCTGTGTCCTGATCTGTTCTTCTAAAGACACCAGTCTTATTGGATTAGGGCCACCATAACAGCCTCATTTCAATTGAATCACCCTGTAAAGACTCCACTCCAAAGACAGTCCCATTCTGAGGTACTAGGGGTTAGGGCTTCAAAGTATGAATTTGTGGGAACTCAGTTTGGCCAATATCATTCCCCTTAGGGCTCCTGTGTCTTCATCTGGACAAAGTGGGTCAAGGTGTCATGCTGCCAGAGCAGCAATGCCAGCCCCACAGGGAACAGAGGGAGTTCTCCAACTTGATGTTTAGAAAGGCAAATAGTGGGGACCTTACCTGAACTCATCCTCTCCTGCCCTCGGCTAGTTTTTGGGGTGGAGGGTAGGGAGAGCCTGTCCTTCCCACTGTGAGGAAGAGCCTCCGGCCTGGCCCTTTCCTCTCAGCACTGCCTGGTGCTTTTTGGGCATGCTGGTTTCTCAGGTGCAGCAGGTTTCAACACCCATGTGCAGCCTTGTGCTACATGGGAGGTGATGGCAGGATTGTCATGCGGACCAGGCCTCTGTCTTTGCTGGGAGCTCCAGGTTGCCGCCCTGCCACTCACGAATCTTACAAAAACAGCCTCAGCAGCTGCAGTGCGTGGTGGGCCATTTGCTGTGTGCTGGGCCCTGTGCTGAGGTCTTTTCAGGTTCTAACGTTGAATCCTCTCTTAGTCCCATTTTACAGCAGAGAAAACTGAGGCACAGAAAGGCTCAGCAAGTATGAGCAGTAATGTCTCTTCCTCCCAAAATAACTGCTTCCACACACATGCCTTTCTAGGCCAGTTGGTGCCATTTAAAGTTCTGTTGTTCTTTTCTAACAAAAGCCTTGCTTTTTCCCTCCATTTGAACAAATTATAAAAATTGCTATAGATTGACAAACATGTACAACTCACACATACTTTAAAAAATAATAATGGGCTAGCTGGTTAGCTCAGTTGGTTAGACCACCAAGGTCAAGGGTTCTGAGGGTTCAGATCCCTGTACCAGCCAGCTGCCAAAACAAACAAATAACAATAGAGAATGATAACAGGATAACCAAAATGCGGTATATCCATAAAATGGAATGCTATTTGGCAATAAAAAGGAAAGAAGCACTGATTTGTGCTGCAACATGGGTGAACCTTGAAAATGTTATTTTGAGTGAAAGATGCCAGTCTTGAAAGGTCATGTGTTGTAGGATTCCGTTTATATGAAATGTTCGGAACAGGCAAATCCATGGAGACTGAAATCAGATTAGTGGTTGCCTAGGTTGGGTGGAGGAGGGAATGGGGAGTGACTGCTAATGGGTGTGCAGGGTTTCTTTTGGGGCAATAAAAATGTTCTAAACTTAGATTGTGGTGATGATGGCGCAACCATATGAATAATCTAAAACCACTGCATTGTACGCTTTAAAGACATGAACTTTATGGCATGTAAATTATGTCAATTAAGCTCTTTTAGAAAAAGAATTATAATTAAACCACCACCAAGGTGCCTTCCCCTGGTCAAGATACACTCTCTCTGTTTCTGTAGACTGTGGCCCCACCCCCCCGCCATGTGTGTGGTGGCCGTGGCCTGTTCTGCTCTCCTGTTTATCACCTCAGTGTTGTCCATCCCTGATTCGTTTTGTCAGTTTTTGAACTTTATATTAAAGGCTTAACACTGAATGCATTCTGTGATCCCAATGTTATTTTTTATGTTGCTGGACATTAACATGGTTGGTTTCTTTCCTTGCCGTGAAATAGCATTGCATTCTATGAGTAGACTACTATCTCATGTGTCTCTTCCATTGCCAATGTGTGCTTGGGCTGTTTCTAGTTCTTTTAGTGTGCTGTATACAATTGCGCTCTGAATGCACGTGTACAAGTGTTTCTCTTGGTTCCTCCACCTCAAGTGTGCATCAGAGTCTGGGAGGGCTGTGGAAACACAGATTGCTGGGCCCCAGCCCCTGAGTGTCTGATGCAGTGCATCTGAGGCGGGGCCCTAGAATCTGCATTTCTAACATGCTCCCAGTTGATGCTATTGCTGCTGGTCTGGGGACTTCACTCTGAGAACCACTAATCTGGGGTATGTACTGCAAAGTTGAATTTCTGGTTACAATTCTCATTCACACTGATGTTCTGTAGCCCTTCTTCTCCCAGATGCCCCGCCCTCCTACCCCCCACCAAAGAGAAGGGCAATCACCCCTCTCTTCTCTCAGCATATGCTTTCTTCTGACGTTCTCCACGTGGTCTTTTTCTGTTTTATCTTTTGGTGGTGTTTCGTTTTTGTTTTATGTAAACCCTTCTATTTTTAATGGCAGCTTTATTGAGATACAATTATATACCGTAGAGTTCACCTATTTAAAGTGTGCAATTTAATGGTTTCTAGTATATTCACAGATATGTGCAGGCATCACCACAATTTCAGGACATTTTCGTCCCCTGGACCCTTTAGCTATCACTCCCTGCATCCCCAGTCCCTGGCAACCACTAATCTACTTTCTATCTCCATGCATTTGCCTATTCTGGATACTTCACATAAATGAATCATACAATAGTTGTTCTTTTGTGTCTGGCTTCTTTTTCTTAGCATCATGTTTTCAATGTTCATCCATGTAGCATGTGTCAGTGCTTCATTCCATTTTGTGGCCAAATAATATCCCATTGTGGATAGACTACGTTTTGTTTATCCATTCATCAGCTGATGTCCACATGGCCTTTGGATACACAAATCCTCTGAGTGCTTGCAGCTATGCAATTTCTTAAGGCTAAAGTTTCATGTCTTTGCAGGACTCTCTTAGGGTTAATGTTAGAATATTGGATGTCAATGGGAATTTTGAACATTTATCATGTGCTTAAAGCATTTTACATGAATATCCCATTTAATGCTCACAGTAACAAGAGGTGGTGGGTACCGTTATTTCTATTTGTTAGCTAAAGCCCCAGAGAGCTTACAAATATATACAATATGCCCATAGCCTCCCAGCTAGTAAGAGGCAGAGCTGGGATTTGCACCCAGGCAATCGATGCCTTCCAGCCATGGTGCTAGCTCAGAGGTTATCAGTGGCCTGTTCTTTTCTGGTTGGTGATTCACCCCACCATTCTTCCCCTGTCGTGGAGGAAGGACCAAGCCAGGATATCCAAATTTAAAGTGCTGTAGCCAGTTCACTTTGAGGCATTCAGCCTCCACACATGAGCCCAGTGGCACATGTACGCAGGTTCTGTTGCAGCATCCTGTCTAATAGCATGGATTGGAAACAACCTAGGTGTCCATCCATAGGGGATTGGTTAGATAGCTGCAGGTGTACTGTCTTTTGAAAAGAGTGAGGCAGCTCTTTGTGGTCTGAGGCTGAGTGATCTTCCCGATAGAATGTTACATGAGAAAAGCTGCAGAACTATACACATATGCTGCCATCTGTGGAAAAGGTATGTCTATACCCTTATTTATCTGGCACATCTAAGAGAGGATACATGAGTGCTAATGGCAGTGCCTCAGGAAGGTGATTCAGGTTGCTGGGGAATGAAATGGAAGGTTTACTCTTCACTGAATACCTGCTTGTAGTTTTGAGATGTGTATATAATATGTTATTAAAAAAGAAAAAGGTAATGGGCCGACCCCGTGGTGCACTCGGGCGAGTGTGGTGCTGGGAGCGCAGCAGCGCTCCCACCGCGGGTTCGGATCCTATATAGGGATGACCAGTGCGCTCACTGGCTGAGCACGGTGCGGCCGGTCAGGAAAAAGACAAAAAAAAAAAAAGAAAAGGTAAAGTGAAACTGCACTTCATATTCATATTTCTGTAGCCCTTGGTTCTCCAAAATCACCTGGAGAGCTAATAAAAACCTCAGAGGCCCAGGATTGGATAGGGCATGGGGCTGTATCATTACCATTTTCCAGGAGACTCTGACACTGCTCCAGTTTGCAAACCATGTTCTCACACTTCAGAGTAGCTCCCTTGTAGAGCCTAACCTACAGGTGAAATAGGTTGAGGTTAGAAACTCCCACTCTTTAAAAATAAGCAGGGCTGGCCGGTTTGCTCAATTGGTTAGAGCACAGTGCTGATAACACCAAGGTGCGGGGTTCGATCCACATACTGGCCAGCTGCTAAAAAATTTTTTTCAAATAAATAGAAAGGAACAAAAAGAGGGGGTTGCTGGTTAGCTCAGTTGGTTAGAGCACTGTGTGAGAACACCAAGGTCAAAGGTTCGGATCCTCACACCGGCCAGCCACCAAAAAAAAAAAAAGATAAGAAAAGCAGAGACCCTGTGCAAAGAGCAAGTAGGACTGCAGACAAATGGCAGCTGGAGTGAAGCCACTTTGCAGAGTCCCAAGTCCGAGATACATTACTTGGCCTGCAGGAGGGAGGGGTTGTGTTATAAAATTTCATTCAGTTGTTGGCCAGCCATCAGTCATTACCAAGCTCGGGTTCATCCCCTGGGCTGGTAGAACATGCCAGCGGCGTTCTTTATCAGCTACTTTTTCCCCTTGTGGTGTAAACTCAGGAGCTCACGGTTCACTCTTGACTGGACTACATTAGGAAGACACTGGAGTTCGGCTGACTTGGTAGTAACTGTTTTCTTGTTTCTGCAGTTCTTGACCAGGCTGACCGAGAGGTTTGTGTTGGGAGTGGATATGTTCGTGGAGACATTGTGGAAAGTTTGGACAGAAGTCTTGGATGTTCTTGGACTTGACGGTAGGTGTGGGGGGTGTTCATGTAAGGCACCATTTATTCTGGCAGTTCTCAAACATGTGGACTTGGTACCTATGGTGGGTGGTACATGGGAAGGTGGGGGGGACGGGGCAGTGAGGATATGAGTGAACATTCTTTATTTTAATAATTGCATATGTAAATGGCTCATGAAAGCTGCAATTTCCCAGATACTATTTAGGATAAGGTGCAAGTGGATAGTGCTCACCTGTCTGCCCCTGGGCAAACCACATGGACCAGAGTATATACTCTGGTTTATTGAGAGCTGTAAAAGAAACTTCTCTAGTCATTTAGGCAGAAGGGGATTTCATGGAGAATGAGGTGCTCAAAGAATCAACAGAAGGGCTGAGGGAGCCCTGCACAGCCCCCAGACACTGTCAATCTGGCTGCCAGGGTGGCCGCTGCTGGAACTGTTGAGTTCAAGGTCACACAACTGTAGCTATGACTT